TATATTTGAAAATTTTATGACTAATTAATTTGGTCAAATAAGTGTCTTATATGGATGATTAAATTATAAATATGACATTATACAAAAATTAAGATACATTTTTATATAGAATCAAATAATTTTGCAATGTAATAGACACGTGCTATAGATCTATGCCCTTTAAATTGTTTTAGTATTTCTAATATTTTAAGTTTATGATTAATATTTTATGTACTTAATTTGGTCAACCTACATACAAAAAATTCATAGTTGTATAAAATTATTATTCAAACACAAGCCATTAAAATTTAAAAATTAAATTAATTATACATAATAATTTATGTACATTTTTAAATATATTTATATAGATACATATAAAAAAAAAGAAAATAAAATAAGAAAAATTATTATATACTCCAAATAAATCTTAAATATCTAACATGGTGACATATGATCGAACCCTCATAGTGGGTAACACATTGAAGACATAAATAAAAAATGTGTGTGAAGTTAGTTTCTTAAATAATTATATAACATGAAATACCACATGTTTGTGTATTTTTCCCGCATTAGTTTGAAAAACACTATGCTGAAAATAAATACAAAAATGTTAAAAGAGATAAATAACTATTTCAAACATCAATTACATAGCATTAAAATGAAAAATGACATTAAAATGAAGAACTAATGGCGCTCATAAATCATGGACGTATTATTTGCTCAAAGTAAAAAAAAAAAAATATATATATATAATTTTATAAATTAAAGTGTAGAAGTAATTAATAACTTTTCAAATAATATAAGTTAAATATCAAATTGTTATTATGAAAATATAATAAATTGTTATTTAATAATAAATCATTTTAATTATGGTACTACAATTTGTGTGTTGTATGGGTGGATAAACTAGTATTAGTTAAGCGTTTCACAAGCCTTTTGCACTTTAGTCGTTTATTTTCCATCCGAATGTTTCGATTGACACAAAAGCAAGTGAACTATTTTTGTAAGGAATTTTTCCACCCAAAATTTATTGGAGAAAATTAGAAAGTTAACAAAATGTTAAGCCATTAAAAATTACGAAGTAATTAGTAACTTATAAAAAAATATAAGTAAAAATCAAATTGTTATTAAAAAATTACCCAAAATATAAAATGGAAAGAATATTTATATAATTAAGTAACAATTACTACTCTCTCTCATTAAATGGACGCTTAACAAATGACAATTAAGTCATCAAAAGATTAAAAGAGTAAGGGTAAATTTTTTACAAAAACATCCATACTTTTAAGTTAGTAGAAATAGAGATAGAGATGCTTACCAAACGAGAACTGCATGATAGGATGTTGTCATGGGATCATGTTGCTCTGCCCGAATAATGCATATAAAATTGTGGTTTGTTCAGAAGGTGCATATATTTCACTCTTTAACTGTGTGTTGTACTTTAATTTTCAATACATGTTTAACACAAACAACTCTTATTCGATTCGGATTAGAGACATCAAACTATACTGCAACTGTTCTCGATGTAGGGTACATCTGCCCCAGTACATTGATTCCAAATCCTTTTTCCATGGAGCCGCACACACCGGCCACTGCTGCTTTAAGTACGCGAGCCGAGGTCAAAATACATTTTGAATCATTAACACTAAATACATCAAACCAGAATAGTTAACCTGCAAATCACCCAAAAATACGTGCAGGTGAAGGCAAGTAACCTTTTCATAATATATCTGATGCTTTGTGTTATTGTTATATGCAGTGATCATGACCAAGAAAAGTGCTGAAATCTTGAAACTCTTTGAACATGAAAATTTAATTCTGTCATTTATGTAGTTTCTCTTTTAGCATGAGATGTGAATTCACCTGATTCATATCTTGAATCTCTCTGAATTCAAAGGAAATGGATGCGTTCCCGAGCTTTGACCTTGGGATTTGAGAAGGATGAAGTGGATGGTTTGGGTTAGAGCACACACGCCCGCCTAAAACAACTCCATCCATGCCTATGAATCGGGCAACACCTTATATAGCAATTGAAAGATTCGTGCATTTCAGACCTTGTGTACAAGATGAGTGATGATATAATCATCACTCACTTCTCCCTCAAGTGATAATAGATATGGCGGGGATGTTGGTAGCTTCTTGTAGTTATGTACAATGAGTGAATTTATTATACTTGGACTCCGGCACTGCTACAGGCTGTTTGATTAACATGCAAGTCCATAAAAAAAATAAAAAAATCATAATTTAAAATGTCATTCATAAGGAGGAAATATCGAGAGCTTAATTCCCCTGCCTCCTCCTCCACAGTCCCTTCGGTTTTGCAAGATTTCCTGCTGGATTTTTCTAGCTGAAGCCACAGCCGATTTACTTAGACGATGCAAGACCATTGTCTCGAGGCACGGTGCATCTGCAAGCACTTGGGGCAGCGATTCAAGTTCCTCACAGTTTCTAACCATTAGGCATTTAAGCTTAGGAAAGTCGTGCTTCGAAGCTTCCCAGGAAACTATGTTCGTGTACCCAACGTGCAGCACTTCAAGGCTATGGAAACCACCGGGGCCCACCTCCCAGCACCGACCCACAAACGCGTTGTCTTTCAGCTTGAGCACCTCAAGATTCTCCAGTATTCCTAGTACAGACATCTGCTCCCAACCGAGAAAAGTGGCAGATAGCGTCAAGCTCCTAAGTTTCGGGGGGAACTTGTCTGGAGGAGGAAGGCTGAGTGGGGTCATGATATCATGGATGTCATCATTCAGCAGCTTCAAATTCTCAAGCTCATTTAGTACTCTTAAGTTGTCAAAATTCATAGTTGCAAGTAATCCCCGAATGCCTAATTTCTTGAGACGATGTGCCCGCTCGAACAAGTCGAGAGTGCAATCTCTGGGTGATATGTTGGCCAGCGTCTGAAGATGCTGGCCTCCTTGGTTTTTGCCAGCTGCTGGTTTTTGGTTCAGAGTAATTGATGCGTTTGTCCTCAAGTCTCTCAAATGGACCATCGACCTCCAAATATCGGCTTTGATTGTCAAAGTACGAGACGATGTATGGATTACTAGAGTCAGCACGTTGCTTAGCCTGGAAACGGCTTCCGGAAGGACTTTGAAGTCACTAGACAGGACCACGTACGTGAGAAGCACGAGTTGAGTCAGCCCGAGCGGGAACATTCTGAACACGAGGGACTTCACATGTAAAACCCTCACCAACTCAAAGGCCCTTGGTATTTTCGGGATGTCCTCGGTCGACAAGGCGATTTCTTCTCTGGAAAAAGAAAGGAAAGAACGAGTGGCTGGGGCGTACGGCTCTGGAGAGAAGAATTCCAGGACGTTGGAATGAATGCAAATGCGGCGGTGCTGATTGTTTTGAGAAGGTTTGATGAAATTTCGATCGGCATTTTTTGTCAACACTTGGAAGAGGTGCTCTTTACCCTCGGACTCCGCTTTACATAAGTCGTGCACTGTGTCATGAATCCGGCAAGTCTTGACGTCACCTCTGCTTTTAAGTTTATCAACGATGACCAAGTTGCGGTCGATGAGATTTATTAGATTCTCGTGTGCTCTCTCCTCCAAGCTCTGTCCCTGCCTTGGTTGAACGAACCCCTCGGAAATCCACAGCCGGGTCAATGTCCAAGACGGGATCTCATAATCTTCCGGGAACACCCCTAAATAAAGAAAGCAGTCCCTCAGCTCGTCACACATTCTATCATAACTCAATTCCAAAACACTCCTGAAAACGTCCGATCCACCACGAGTGTACTTGTCCAGGCTTTGAGATAGCTCTATCCACGACTTCACGATGGCAACGCTTGTTTTCGCTTGCGAGACGTAGTCCATAAGAATCCCTGCGATCATCAACAACAGCATCGGTATTCCTTGGCATCGTTCGCTTATATGCCTCCCCAACCCTTGCAGCTGCGGAGGACACTGCCCATCCATCCCAAATACTTTGAACTGAAGGAGTCGCCAACCTTCGTCATTCGTCAAGAAACGAAGCCGTTGGGGTGGTACAATAGAATAATATCCCTTGTTGGAAGCTTCGGAATATATCACCTGTTCAGTGACTCCGTGATGACGGGTGGTGACAAGGACTCGACCCTTTCCGTTGTTCGTGGGTAAGGCAGACGTGATTGTAGACATTGCCTTAGCCGTCCACACATCGTCCAGGACCAAAAGGAACCTCCTCTCTTGTAGAGACGCACGAATAGCTTTTGCCAGGTCAGAGGTCGTCTCGTTGGACATGTCCTTGCTCGTGAATTCGTAGAGTATGACGAGAAAGATGGTTCTCGGGTTGAACTCTCGGGAGACAGTGGCCCATATTCGGGTGGGGAACTCCCGTTGGATTTCCTCATTGTTGTAAACCTTCCAAGCCAGGGTCGTTTTCCCAAGGCCAGGCATGCCGATGAGGGTGGTGATGCCCATCTCATCAGGAGAATATCGTCCCGCGATCAGAGTATCGATTAATTTTCTTTCCTCATCTTCCAGACCTATGATGCTGTCTCCCATGATTGAGGCTGCCTGTGCACACAAGTTACAGTACATTCTCAAGTTAGGCCTAATTTGCCACTCTTCATTCTACTCATCATATTCAAGCTGCATAATATTTATTCATTTGGTAGCTACAGATTATTTCTTGTATTGTATTTTCAACTATTTCATATTTTATTTATATATTGATTGTGTCATGTAAAAAGATTCACATTTATATATAGAAACTGTACCTTTTTCGGCCTTGGCTGCTGCTTTGCTTGTCTGGACTCATCAGATTTGCCGTGGCCAATTCGTACCTTAGCAATGTCGGCCCCAATGAGCCTGTCCATGGCAGGTTTCAACTCATCTTTCCTAAGGGACCTGACGAGCTGTGCCAGGTCAGCAGGCGCCAGGCCGACGAGATCTCGTCTGCGACCGGAGATATATTTACAGTCGGCAGCTGCCGCGGCCAGACGAGTCACACAAGCGTCGATCGTGTCCTCAATGGCATACACAACTTTCTTGATTTGCCTTTCAACTTCCCTGAGTTGTGTGGCTTTATTCGACCTTGTTGACTGGGGTTCGAGCAAAGTCTTGAAAGAGACGAGATCGTTAGTCAGCAGCCGGAGCTCCTCTTCGGTGTCGGAGCCCGAGAGAAGATCGGCATGTGAAGTCAGCAGCCGCGACACGTTCTCCTCCAGGAAAATCACCGCACCATACGCCATCTCTATCGATAATTTGAATAATTATTATCAATATGAATGAGAGAGCAAAGAAAATAGCTATTTGGATTAGTCAGATATAGTGATCTATATCATCAATTATAGTTACATGCAACTTGATACTGTCAATAAATTACCACTTGTACACTATTTTATTTTAGTCAGATAGTGATCTGTATCAATTATAGTTATATATGTGTTTTTTCTTGGTCCATGTCCGTACTGTATGTGAATATTCTAATCCGATCAATATTCTAAACTGGATTAGTCATATAGTGGTTGGAGCAAAATTATTCAAACATGTATTGATTTATTTACATGCAACTTGACACTTAAACTAATCAACCACTTGGGTTCTTAGACCAAACAAATTATCAAACACTATTGACAGAGAATGGCTTATGGTGCGGTGATTGTCCTGCTGGAAAACTTGTCGCGCCTGCTGACGTCACATCCCGATCTCATCTCCGGCGCGGAACGCGAACTCCAGGGCCTGAAGAGGGAACTCCTGTCAATCAAGAATTTGGTTAAGCATGACGGCTCGAGGCCGTATAAAGAGACGCAGCTCATCAGGGAAGTGGAAATGCAGATCAAGGGAGTTGTGTACGAGATTGAGGACACAGTTGACGCTTGTTTGACTCGCATGTCAATGGCTGCCGACACCAAAAATATGTTTGGCTACAGCCGAGGTTCCGTTGACCCAGTCGATCTGGCACAGCTCGTGAGGTCCCTTAGGGAAGATAAGCTAAAACCAGTCATGGATGAGCTGATTGGGATGGGGATCACTAGAGTGAAAATCGCGAAACCGGAAAGGCACGAGGCAAATTCAGAAATGGTAACACATATATATATTGTCATACTAATACTGTAGCTGCAGCCTTGAAAAAAAAAGTTTGTTTGAAATATCATGATTGGTCCATACTTTGTGCTAAAAAATCTCTGCCATCTAATTATGCATAGGCTCCGCGAGTCAGGGAAGACAACATCGTAGGTCTGGAAGATGAGCAGGCTAGATTAATGCAGCTACTCACAAAGGAATCGGATGATCTCGATGTGATTGCCATTATCGGCATGCCCGGCCTAGGAAAAACAACCCTTGCGCGGAAAGTTTACGAAACAGAGGAAATCCAGTGTGCATTTCCCACCCGCATCTGGGCCTGCGTCTCTAAAGAACTCAACACAAGATCACTCTTTCTCGACATCCTCCAAGAATTCACCAGCAAGGATATGTCGAGCATCAGCGTCGATGACCTGGCGCTGACGATCCACGCCACTCTGGAGACGAGAAGGTTCCTGCTCGTGCTGGATGACGTGTGGACACCCGAGGCCTGGGACACGATTCGGGAGGCCTTACCCGTGCGAAACGGAAGTGGTAAAGTCCTCATAACCAGCCGTTTCAAGATAGTGGGCGAGCATGTCTGTTCTATTACACCACCTTACCTACTGCGTTTCCTAACGGTAGAAGAAGGTTGGCACATCCTCCGTTTAAAAGTATTCAGGCCGCTCCAGGAATGGCCTCAAAGGTTGGGAGATGTCGGCAGGCGTATAAGCGAACAATGCCGAGGACTGCCAATTCTACTATTGATGATAGCGGGGATTATGGACGATCATCTCTCGACATCAAATGATCTTGGTGCCATCATACGCGCGTGGGAAGGCCTGTCCGAAAGCCTGAGCGGGTACTTAATCCACACGATGGATGTTTTCACAAGTGTTTTGGCATTGAGTTATGCTAGAATGTGTGACGAGTTGAGAGATTGCTTTCTTTATCTCGGGGTGTTTCCCGAAGATTATGAGATCCCGGCTTGGACACTGACCCGCCTGTGGATTGCTGAAGGGTTTGTGCAGCCGAGGCATGGTCAGAGTCTTGAGGAGAGAGCATACGAGAATCTGATGCATCTCATAAACCGGAATTTGGTCATGATTGATAAGCTGAAGAGCAGTGGAGAAGTCAAAATTTGCCGCATTCATGACACGGTGCGTGATTTTTGTAAAGCCGAGGCCGAGGGGATACAGCGCCTCTTCCAAGAACTTAGAAGACGTCCAGACGAAACATTCGAGCCTTTTTCAGATTCGGAGGGCCAACAAAAGAACCACCGCCGCATATGTGTCCACAACGATGTCACGGGTTTCTTCTCTCCGGAGCCATATTTACCACGGGCGCGTTCTTTCCTGTCTTTCTCCACGGAAGAATTAACCTTGCAGACAGAGGACATCCCAAAAATCCCCGCAGCCTTCGAGCTAGTGAGGATTTTACACATCATGCCCCTCAAGTTCAGAATATTCCCCCTTGGCCTGACCCTGCTCGTACATTTGAAGTACGTGGCCCTGTCCAGTGATTTTAAGGTCCTTCCAGAAGCCGTCACCAAGTTGATCAATACACAGACTCTGGTCATCCAGACGTCGTCTCGCACTCTGCTGGTCAAAGCCAATATATGGAAGATGAACGAGTTGAGGCACGTGAAGACCAATGCATCCATTGTTTTGCTCAAGCTACCCTCACATAATGTAGACAACAATCTCCAGACGTTTGTCAATCTCTCTCCGGAGAATTGCACGGCCGACTTGTTTGAGAGGACATCTAGCTTGAAAAAACTGGGCATTAGAGGGAAATTCGCGCATCTCGATTTTGATAGTTTAAGGAGGCTGAGGGAGCTCGATAATCTGAAGCTCCTTAACGACATCCACTCTATTTCGCCTTCTGAAGGCCAGCTGCCATGCCTCCCTCCACCCGGCAAGTTCCCTCCGAGGCTGAGGATTCTGACACTATCTGCTACATTACTCGGTTGGGAGCAAATGTCCGTCTTGGGGCTTATCGAGAATCTTGAGGTGCTTAAGCTGAAGGATAATGCATTCGTGGGGCCTTGCTGGGAAGTTGTCGAGGTTGGTTTTCCTCTGCTGCATTTCCTGCTGATCGAGCACACGGATTTAGTTTACTGGAAATTAGCTCCAGGCAATCACTTTCCTCAGCTCAGACATCTTACGCTTAGAAACTGTGAAGAACTAGAAGCACTGCCTGACGGGCTGGCAGATATACCAAGACTTGAGGCGATGAACTTGCACCGTACGACCAAAATGGCTGTCTCGTCTGCCAGGAATATTCGGGGTTACATAAGTAACCTGAAGCTTTCCATATTCCCCATTGATGAATGATCGAGCACCCTTTCGATTCTTTTTTTCTTTTAATCCTGTTTTTGTCGCCTTGTTTAATCAGACTCTTCCTTTTGTTTAATCTGATTTTGTTTCTGGTGTAATTTTATTTACGAATTGCTGGAACATGTTACAGTTGTTTTCTGATCTTTTCTAAATGCAATAAACACTAGACATATGGTTAGAAAAAACATCTACACGGACACCTTAAAGACACCATGGTAATGTATATATATAAAATCTCCGAAGCTAAAGAACAAGAGTTTTGGCGTTGGTTTGCTGATTATGAGCTAATATATTGTTAATGAACTACTTGAACACTATTGAATTTGGTGCATGGCAATGCCCATGTAATAATCTTCCTCATTATTTGAACACAAATTCTTCCAACTTCACAGATATCTTACTCATGTCATTCACCAACCAACCAACTGCAAATAACAAATTAAAATCCAGAGCCGGTCCAGAAAAATTAGAGGCGCTGGACTAAATGATAAATAGTACCCATATTATTTTATAATGGGTTAATTGTTAAATAAACCTTAACTTTTTTGCGTTTGACAATTTTATCTCAATCTTTGGATAATTGCAATATAATCTCGACCTCAATTCACTTATTGCAAGTCGAACCTAAAACCGGTTGGACCTTCAGAAAAATGGTCGATTTGAAGGCCGTTCGAACAAATCTGAGCTCATATTTCCCGGTTCACTCCAAATTTAGGAGGAGACTCATTACAGGTGATGGAGATAAGGTAATTATTATTATTATTATTATTATTATTATTATTATTATTATTATTATTATTATTATTATTATTATTATTATTAGTG